CCACTCATAACAAGAGTCCATTAACAGTCTTATGAACTCTACGAATTAACGTCAACTAGCCGTAAATGAGCGCAACGCCGTCAGACGTCTATTTCACTGCGTGCTGCTACGCAAACGTTAACACAGCWAACTTGATGTTGTGTGCTTTCATTTACGTCTGTGCTCAAGACGTTCGTGTATACGTACTTTTGCATAAGTAATTCAGGAAAGAGTTTGGAATGTTACTTACGTAAGTACGCAACTCTGAATTTTGCTGAACCGTAAGAACGTATCCGGGAACGTATCTCATCAATGCCCCCTTTTACGTCAAAGACTTCAAAAGGTCGTAGTAAACCGTATATAAGGCAATTAAAAGTAATACAATGTCATAACGCTATGGCGTGAAGAAACGTATRAGAATGCACGTAACGTAACTAAAACGGAACGATGACAGCACTTAGCTGTTTTCTTTGAAACGGCAGCTACGTTCTCAGCAAGAGAATGAATACTTTAATGACATAAGCTAGTAAATAAAAAATACAAAAATTAACTTGACTTATTATATACAAAGTATTTTCGTTGACAAATTATTACTTTGGCCACACTAGAAAGGATACTTTTTATTTTGTTATTTTGTTCTACAATTCGTCCTCTAGTCTACTCTCGGCGCAGAAAGGAGTCTACACGTCCTGATCTGTTCTTATATRTGTCAGCTTGGATGGGTAAAGATCCAGTTGTAGTTGCGATATCTAAATAGTTTTCCTTCAGAAGAGAACCTCTTCTGTAGCATGAAAACGATTTTTCTAGCTGAACAATATTATCTATAAGTAGCAATAAATCTATTATTCAAGGAAGCCAAACAAGGCGTCATGTTGTCAATCTTTAAATCTTGAAGCCTATAATTGAAACTACAAGGTCATCTCATTCCAATGCGCTGAAACCCTCCCCCCACATCACACCCTCCCCTTCACCACGCCCTGCGTTTTCGCAAGGATTATAATTAGTGGATATGACTACATTCGCAAACGTTTGCCAAACAAAACGGCGTTTTTGACAATAATTTGTTGATGAAAGTAGTCTTACCTTCTGATTGGTTCCAAATTAAAATATACAATTTTTCGCATGTAAGAACTAAATAGCGCAAACGGGTTCTCGCGGATGAACGTGTGCAGTTTGACTATTTTCTTGAAAGTGTCAAAATAGTGAAGCTATCTACAAATTTTTATGAAGCGACATTATTGAAAAAGAGTGCTTATTTTAAAACGTTTACGACCGAAAGGAAATTCGGTCTTGAAGTTACATCATCAACGGTTCAAAGGCTTTTCTTCAATCGCTTTGGCTWGTTGGTTATCCGGAATCGCTTGATTATTAACCCGGCCTCTTGCTTCATTTCCGCCTCTCGGRCTATCTTCCTCGATGCTACTTCCCGTAAAACAAGCTGTTAGCCAAGTCATCGAGTCATCACTGATGGGTTCCCTGTGTCTCTCTCGATCACAACATTCACTCGGTGAGCATAAAATACGGCAAAATGTGTTCCTCATCTCTAGATCACGTGACGCATATATTATAGGATTTAAGAGTGAGTTGAAGACAGCCAAGACAGTAAAGAAAGGGCTGTACTTGCTTAATGTGATTGACTTGGCCATGTCTAGAAGACCGATGGTCATGATGGGAAGCCAGCAGACAGCAAACGCTGCGGTCACTATGGACAGCGTCTTTGCRACTTTGARATGCGCTCTTTCGTCTTTGTTGRTTGCATTTCTGATGATATAAGTGCTTTTTCTAACCTGAAAGAGTAGTAGAAAATATTATTATAATCATCATTATAGACATCATCGATTAACATTATTTAAGAAATATTAACGGAGTACTTATATCTGAAACAACGATAACTTTTTTCATTTTTTCATTCAATTATTGTCTGTTTAGAACCCTGTACTTTAATTGGTTGATTTTTCTATTGAAAATCACTATTTTCACCCAAGAAAGTCTTAGGTGACAAAAGATAGCTTAAGAAAACTAGCCGTTGCTTGCTGTTCATACCATTTGAACTCTGTTCTTACCTTAGCGAATATAGCGATGTACAATCCCAAAATAATCATCAGTGCTAAAATGACATGAAGGGAAAGCACGAAGACATAGGTTCTTGCAAGACCAGGATAAATCGTGGAGCAGTCATCAGTGCTTGTAGCATTCCATCCAGCAATGGGTAAGGAACCAAGAACCAATGAATACACCCATATTATTACTATAACAACAACAATCACAGTGTTGTTCATTTTGGCGCGGTAGTTAAAGGGATGGATGATGACAAAAAAACGATTGAATGCGATGGCGAGAAGAGAGAGGATRGATGCTCCAATACTGGCTACAAATACACCCTGTGTGATTTCTAGTTCTTCCCTGTGAAATAGAGAGAAGACATTAGATGCGCGATTCTTATGGGGGGAGTTGGGATGTGAGAGGGGGAGGGATGAAAGGATGGAAGGGATTGAGAGGGAAAGAGGGAGAAAGGGTCAAATTGATCTTTGAATAATTCGCATTAAAGCATGGAATTATATAATAATGCGTAAGGGACTAAAGGTCAAATAATTTCGTTGCACAAAATGGTGATGGCTATGGAGTAATTAAAATGTCTTATAGTTTTTAGCYTTTACCTCTGTAGGGGGTAGTGGTAAAATAAAATAGTTACATTCATTGATATCAATTTTATATAATAATTTACGGACTGCTGTACAAAAATACACTCAAATCAGCTTCAAACTGGACAATGACTGATATAAATCCCTACTGTCCTACACATGACACTCGATAATGCGCACACTAATTGGTGTCCGTTATAACGGGGGTTATAYYACATTTACCTGATAACTTGACCATGTAAGTAGTTCCTCAAGAATGAGAAGAGTACAACCACAGCTGCGATGAAGTCAGCAACAGCTAAAGAGCACACGTAATAGAATGCTGGTTTGTGGAGACGTTTGTTCTTAATAACAGCAGCAACAACAAGAATGTTTAACAAAATGATTATRACACTCAACGCAACTGACGGGTACACATAAATSMTTACWGATGGGTTTTTTTTTAATGCTGTCGCAGCGCAGTATTCCGTTGAGTTWACCATCTTGAGCTTCCTTTGATATCTGTCACAAAACAAGAAGAACATTTATTACTGATGGGAATGCAGCTTGTGAAATAATGAATCGAATGAGAAATAAATGAATGAAAACMYGGAAGGATTCATKACAGAAAAATGGAAAAAATGAGCAGAATGGTAGGATAGCGTATGAAGGAGAAGGGAGAAAGATGGATGGAAAGAAAGAACTAATAAAGGATGAAAGAAATAATGTTGGAAGGATGAGAGGGAGGGAGGAGCATGGGGGGAGGAAAAGAAAAACTCAAAAAGCTCAGTCTTTTCTACATAAGCAGAGACGTTTGGCTGCTGTTGCTATTTATATTGATTCAGACAACAACCGTCTCAGCGGGTTCAAGTCGGTTCACTTGAAATATGCCTTGATATCATCCGACATCCTGTGTTTTGATTCCCTATTAGCTGTAAAAATATTCGATGGCATATCCAAAGTTAAAAGTATAAGACAAAAGCTGATCATGACATCTGCGCATTCACGAATGAACGACTGTCATCTTTAACCGCTTAAATCGAAGCCATGATCCTTAGTTATTATCAGTATGGGGGAGTATATACAAAGCTAGCGTTTCTAGTAAAAAGGGACGCCATCTAAGAAGTTGTATKAAAGATTAAAAATAGTCCACCAAGAACAACTCAAAAGGCGTTGATTTGAATCATAAAGAAAACATATTTAATTGTACTTACCGAAGTATTTCGCTTTGGGTGTGATATATAAACTATACTAAAGGAGTCTAGATAGAAGTGTTGTCCGGTTTAAACCAGTTKGTTCACAATAATTCCAAAAACAAACTTTTCCCAAACTTTTCCYATATCATTCTAGGATTTGCCTCATCAGATAACACGTTTGATTTCTGGGAAGCGAACATTCGTCCGTGACATGTGTCCGTGATAAGTGTGCGTGACATGTGCGCGTGACATTCAGAAAACAACATTCAATCTATTTCCGGTGATTTCACTTTGAATACAAATTCAGAGAAATAAAGGATTACTTCCGGTATAGTATTTTCTGGATGATATTTTTATAGATTAAAGTTCCTGTAACATTGTTAATGAAGTGATATCAGTTAGTCTATCATAAATACCCACCCATTTTCCGCGAAACGTGTAAAACAATYTGTTTGGGCGCGTGATGTGTAAGGTCAAGTCGATAATGCAGTAAATGTCGCCTCGTGCTTCACATATCATCATATCATCCCAGGCATCTRACAACCACACACTCAGGGTCAACGCTGATCACCAAGACAGTCGTAAGGTAAGAGGAAAGATGAGTTTTGCCAAGTTATATACACCAATCAAATGGTTTTTAGACATTTCGTCTTCCTGATATAATTATTGCTCTATTCTGTTACGAATTATAACGACTATGCAAATTGTACCCTATATGATTCTAAAACCGGAGACATTCRTTTGGATTACTGCATCAAGAGATAAATGGTAATTAGAAAATGAAACGAGTTGAACAGCGGAAGTGTCCTCGTAAAAACGTTCTTGCGCGCAGACTTTTAATCTTAAAAGATTTTATTACCTTAAGCAACTGTAAGGCTACTCAAGCATACTACATGTAAAACAAGGTCAATTAGTTGTAATTGTTTAGAGTATGGGCTACCTGTTCAAGAACAAAATGACGGGGAAACTAGGTATGAGGAAAGGACTCTAGAGTTTCACTGCAGTTTTCAACCCCGAGTGCAAAGCCTCTTTACTTATCTACCGGTAGGTCCCTTAGATGTATATCCTGCATAATCAAGGCCTTTCTTTCTGTTCATTATAAGATCTATCATGGACCAATCAATGCAAAGTAAATGGCAGCAAATTATCAAAGATGTTACCTCACCTCAGCCTCCATCCACGAGTGACAAAGGTTCCCTTGTAGTGGTAGGGTCGGGGATTATGTGTGTTGCGCACTTTACAATGGAAACTCTTAACCATATCCAGGATGCTGACAAAGTGTTTTATCTCGTAACTGATCCTGTCACGGAGGTAYATAAATAATTAGAGCTGATCATTATCAAGAATAACTCAAAAAAAAAGTCTTGTCACAACTCGACAACTAAAGCAAAGTAACGAGTCGCCCAATGAAAGTGAATCCGGGGTCCAGTAACAAAACAGCTTTGGAATCCGGAACCTKAATATTTGGAATCCATAATCCAGCAAAAATTTTGAAATCCAAAAAACACACATTGATTCCRTTTGGAATCCAGAATCTCAAGCTGGCTTGGAATCCGGAATCTTCTAGTTCTCTGGATTCTCTTACATGGGGCGAAACGAGAAAGGTATATAAGATAAGAGGACATTGACATTATTGGGCTTCATTTCRATCATTTTCGGGATCAAGAATTACAGTTTTAGCTCTGGAATCGAAATCAATGTCTTAATATAAGGTTATTCAAGGAATGGGTGTCAGAATTGTGGGGATCAAGGGTCAGACTGTTATCCCTGAAATCGGGGATTTTTGAAAAAATATATATACCTCGTTAATACCCTGGTTTRTTTGAAGAATACTTAACTGAATATAACGTCTGTGTTTTCAAATAGATCTACATCCAGGAACTGAGACCCGATGCCATCGATTTGTTTGTTCTTTATGACGAGAACAAGGAACGAGCCACAACCTACGCCCAGATAACAGACGTCCTTCTTTACTATACCAGGAGGGGGCAGAAAGTTGTTGTAGTATTCTATGGACATCCTGGTCAGTTACATTACCTGGACAGCATGTATAAATACAATATTGACATTAAATCAAATCATTGTTCTTGATAGGATACCTGGTCAACCCATCCCACAAAGCTGTCCAGATTGCCAGGTCTGAGGGGCTCTCTGCTMTAGAACTACCAGCCATTTCATCCCTCGATACCATGATCTCAGAGCTCGGTTTRGAACCTGGAATTCCTGGTCTCCAAGTCTTAGAGGCAACAGATCTTCTAATGTATTCCAGGAAGTTGTTAACAGACATCCATGTGGTCATCAATCAAGTAGGCTGTGTTGGTGATGTTACCTTCCAGTACAATGGCTTTCCAAACCAACATTTACCAGTTCTCATTGAGTATCTCATTAGCCATTACGGGGAAAGTCACGTTGTCTACAATTARATTGGGTCCCAATTTCCCGTCTGTAAATCTGTGGTCCAGAAATTTAAACTGATTGAGCTGTTGAGGCCTGAGAATGCTGTAAACGTCCAGTCGATGTCAACCTTCTACGTGCCACCACTGACAACAGGGAAGCTTAACGAAGAGGTCGCACGAAGAATTGGTATGGTCCGAGAAAACACAACGCAGAAAGTGAATCACGCCAAAATTGCAGATGACGCTGCCAAAAAGTCGGAAAAATCCAAAACTTCTGCGCTTTTTCCAGGATGGAGCATTTCCAGACAATATAAACCTGTTAAAAGTAGTCAACTTTCCAAGCTTCTCACAAAGATCAGTAAGACGTCCGCGCTTGACTTCACACCTGAAGACGAAGCAGCACTGTCAGAATATCAGTCAAAGGCCCTTAGAACAAGGAATTCAGACTGGATTCATTTTGCTTTGAAGAGTGAAGAATACGAAATAAAAGAGGCTATGAGAAAACCACAAAACACTGAAGAAAAGCAAGGAATGATAAATGCTGTAGACGGCCCACCAATCACAAACCAGGCTTTGGTCATTGGATGTGGTCCACTAGATGGCCAACCAATCACAAAC